ATTGCGCTGAAATTCCCAGGGGGAGATAATGTCTTCCAAAGCCTTCCCGAATGATCAGCCAGACCACCAGATTTGTGAGTCAAGCAACACACGTTATGTTGTAAATCAAATAACGCAGAAGATGAGTCACACAGTGTCTTCAAATCACAAGATGTCCTATTTGAAAAAGTGCTCATCATCACAGTGGAATGTTCAGAGGCATTTAAACAGTTTTCCAGTGAGTTAGTGAATGAGAGAGAGAGAGAGAGTGTATGCATGTGGATGAATGGCTGAGTGAATTGTGAGTGGGGAGGATGTGAGAGGGAGCAGGATTGTCTTGGTAAGTAGGATATGTCAGACAAGTGGGTAAGTGGAAGAGTTGCAGCCGGCTGGGGTGGCAGCTGGGTATGGTAGCAGGCAGGTGAGGTGGATAGTCAGGTCGGGAGGGATTAACAGGTTGGGGTGAGAGTCAGAGGGTTGAAGGGGTGGATGGTGTGCACCAGTCAGCAAAAGTCTGGAGGTGGGTAGAGTCTAGTCAGGTCTCTTCTGCTCGGGGAGTCAGTGTTGAAGGGGTGTAAGGTGGGCAGGGAAGGACATCGTGGAGGAGGTGACTAAGATTATTTTCTAGCCCCCAGGGAAACCTGTGGTCTGAAGTCTCAGTAGTGGTCCCTACTGGAGTTGTGGAACTGCTGGTCCTCTGAATGTTAGCAGCTCTTAGAGACGGATATGCTGGGCAGAAAGTTACCTTGCCAGGCTTGGGGTTCTGTTCTCCACCCACATTAATGTAATAACCAGTGCATGACGCTGGGCACATTCCCATGGGAACACTGGAAAACAGCGGGGAAGTGACCCCAGAAGTCAGGAACTCATTCAACAAAGGTTGAGGAGTTAGAATAAGATTTTTCCATCGAACATTTCCAGGGTAATTATCCAACCATGTAAGGAGAAAAAAACAACTGCACATGTTGGAGATCTGAAATAAAAACTGAAATTGCTGGAGAAACTCAGCAGGTCTGGCAGCATCAAACTGGAGAAGAGTCACTGGATCTAAAATGTTAACTCTGCTTTCTTTCCACAGATGCTGCTAGACCTGCTGAGTTTCTGCAGCAATTCTGTTATTGATACAGGTAAGTAAGTCAGAGCAGTTCAAGATCCCCGACTGTAACTCAGAGCCAAAGGGATTTTCATAGGGACCCTGGAGTGGAGCAGTTGCTGTTGGCAACTTCCCTGGAAATTCCCATTGAGTGAGTTAATCAGGACTTCCAAGGCGTTCTGGTACCAATCTTGGATCATATGTCTTGTCTTGGACTTTTGCAAACTGGAAGATCTGGATTAGTTATTTTAAATTATTTTTAAAAATAATAAAAGTGAACGAAGCTTTATTTATGATATTTATAGTGTAATGGCCAGTGAGATCAAAGCATCAGTACTCATGCCTTAACTTGTATTCACTAGAAATCAACGATGTAAACTCCCTGGACATTCAATACCTTAGAGATAAACTGCTTATCGGAAATTTACAGAAAACATTTACACGTTGAAGAGGCAATTACACGAGAGTTACTTGCGCGAATTTATTTTGCATCACAAAATTTGAATAATCATTTGTATAAATCCAAATGAAAATGTGTGCAATGAGCTAGAAACAAGGAAATTGCAAATGTGGCCATTAAAAACAGTTCAGTTTGAACACTTCAGAATTAGACTGAAATACAACATGATATGTAAGAATAAAACAGAAAGAAGAACTGTAGATGCTGAAGACCTGAAACAGAAACAGAAATTGCTGGACGAACTCAGCAGGTTTAGCAGTATCTGTGCAGAGAAAGCAGAATTAATATTTCAATTCCAGAAGACAGGTCACCAGAGTTGAAACGTTGACATTGCTTTGTCTCCACAGATGAAATGGAGGATGCAGAGTTTGCTGTCTTCATTTAACGTTCAGATTATTTCATTGCTTATTTGCTCAATCTTTTCATCGTGCTTTTGAAGAATTATGAGTATGAGCCAGCACATTATTTATCTTTCAATGCATTAAATGCTTTTGAAATATGTAACTGTTTAGTTATTTTATATTAATGATTGTAAACTAGTTGTGGCTCTGAAACTTTGCTTCATGGTAGCAACCTGGAATATCGGAGTTGAAAGAAACACCCTGACAGAAGACACGTTCACAGTGGGTTTGAGGATGCAAGGCAGGATGGTCAATTTAGTCGAGAAACAGCCTTGCCAATACCAGTAAGGTGTACAAAACAAATTAAACTGGACAATAGAGCTGTCCTCAAATCGAGATAATAGACATTTTTGTGCTCAAAACAATAATCATGCCTCCATCACCATGGCTCTTGTGATTGATAACAATGTTAGAGATAATGAAACAAACAGCCTGCATTTGTTCAAGTGTGTTTTAGGGAGGTGAATAGAGGCTTCAGGACAAGAGTCATTTGGCATGACATAATGGAATTAAGAAATAGAGAAAAATGGACAATGGACAAACCAATTGTTACTTTATATGGCACAGTGCAATATCAAAAGAATGGCAGGAAAGAAGTCAGTCATCGAGGTTGCGTTGTGAAGGCTGATCTGGCCAATCACTCTGAAGCCACATAGGAAAGGCCCCATCAATGGAGACAAACTCCAGCTCGCAAGGTTGCTAAGTAATTGGTAACTTCATAATATACTATTGGTTGTGGGTTTCATAAAAATACATCATACTTAATGGGACAATATCCAAGTTGCTTTCGGTCATTAATAGCCAAAGGAAAGGCTTTAGACCGAGTAGATAGCTATAATAGGAGTACCTATACAAAGCAATCAGATACAGTAACAGTGCATGGCTAAAGAATTCAAATCTATCAGCCTTCCTGAAGGAAAGTGAGAAGCAAGAGACACTGATTCCTCAGTGTCTGCGCCACCAAGCCATCTAGGAGTATCACTCAGGTCACCTTGAGGTAGGTTTAAATCGGTGCTGACCCCAGGAATTCAGAGCAGTGTCAAAAGAAGTTGAACAGTTCCTCAGGCAAGGCAAAGTAAATGTCAGACATTCTACCTTCTCTCTATTGCTCAACACTGCAGACATTTCCCTCAAACTCTTTTTTAATTCATTCACAAGATGAGGGTATTGCTGGCTAGGCCAGCATTTATTGCCCATCCCAAAGGGCAGTTAAGTGTCATCCATGTTGCTGTGGGTCTGGAGTCACATTTAGATCAGACCAGATAAGGATGACAGTTTCCTTCCCTAAAGGATATTCGTGAGCCACATGGGTTTTTCCAACAATCGACACTGATTATCATTAGATTCTTAATTCCAGATTTTTACTGAATTCAAATTCCACCATCTGCCAAGGCAGGACTTGAACCCAGGTCCCCAGGACATCACTCAAGTTTCTGGATTAACAGTCCAGCAATAATACCCCTAGGCCATCAGCTTCCCAATGTAACATCTAAATGAATCTCCAGGGGACCTCATGACAGTTAAAAAGTTGAGAATGAGGACAAAAGGGCCAAAATATGTTCCTTGGTCTTGGCCAATGTACCACAACATCTAGAGCAAACAATTGCTTGGCATCACAGGGATCGTGAGGATGGAATATCCACTGATTTCTCAAGACCCAGGAGGTCACCATTAATTAAATGCTGCGTGGTGACTAAAGAAAACTGTCAGGAGTAGGGTGAGTCAAGAAAATTTCTTAATTTTGGGGCTGGAGTGACAAGCTATCCATTGTGCAGCAGCTATCGGAAACACTTATTGGTGACAAGCCCTCCTGCAACTGGGTTAATCCATTTAACAGAATCAACTGGCCGTAGGGTGGGAAGGTCAACCACGGATCTTCCAGCCAGTGCATAATCCTGATGGACCTGAGGTGGCATCAGTGTTTGGATACGCTACCAAATCACCTTCAACATTGAGGAGCAAAATGTGTAGCCTTGTATGTGCATTTGCTAATTGCATTTAAAAGAAATGTAACATGCACCTGATTGAGAAGGAAGTAAGTTTAATAGACTCAAAGTAATGGACTCCCACATCCGCTGTAATATATAGTAACTGTTGACCTTGTTCACTTTCCAGGGACTCAGAACAACATGAAATAATAAGTCACAAACTGTACCCATTGAAGTACAGTACTAGTAAGTTTAAATGTTCTTTATATTAACAGAATACGATTTCACATAAAATATAAAATTAATAACATAAGCGTCCTACAAAGAAACCCTTAAACAGTGGGTGCCTGTTGAAAAGTAAATCTGAATTTGAAATTCATATTACATTACACAAATATTCCTCTTACGTTAAAACAATACTCTTCGGTATGAAGAGAATAAATAATTATTCTTTTTTAAAATTTCAAGCCATCTCTAATGACCCTTTTGAAATGGATATATCGGTTTGCAAGTTGTAAAGACTTTTGTGAACATAAAGCAAAACTAATTTTAGAGAATTTCACATTTTTAATTTGAAATATTAATTGTAAATATTTACTACAATTCCTTATTTTACCTACTCAGGCACATAGAGAGTAATGATACTTCTGAGAGTTTGCTCCCAGCAGGAGTTAAGATTATTTTCTGCTGTGGTATTTTGAGTGATTACTAATTGGTATGTTTTTAGAAGTGCCTTGGTTTGGAGCAAAATATCGAAGCAAATTTTCTCTTGCCTTCAGAGCTAAAAGTTGTACATAGTGGAGCAAATAGCTTTCATGAATTATATGCACCGTGATTTGTCCCTAAAGGGATGAATCAGTTAATAGCATTTTGACTTTGCTATTTCCATATCGATAAGGTAATTTCTCATCATATGTACAGCATCTAGAGGAGTATATAGTTGGTGGAAGATCAATTGAACTATGATGGATTTGGCAATGAATCAACTACAAATTAATGTTTGCTTAGAAACAGCATGAAATTCTTAACAGTTTCTAGGACCAACAAAACATTTTAAGAATACGATTAACAGTTATTATATACTATGAGAAATATTGAAGTGCATCCAAGGGTTACAAATCCACTAGAAATTTTATTACCTTCAATAGGTTGTAGTTCATCCACTATCAGCTTCAGGGACTTTCCTCGGCGACTTACACGAACAGTGTGCCATTCATTGTCATTGAGATTTTGTCCAGCAAAAAGCATTTCTGGACCCTTGCCTGCATAAGAATATGGCAATGGATGATTAGGTTGTGAATTCCATTCTAAACTTATTACATTTCCTTAGACTTGAACCCCAGTGAATGAATAAAAGTACTTGAGAAAGGAAAGCAATATTAAAAACCATAAAACTATGCTTTACATCATTATTCTAGGACAAGTCAAGAAAAAAAAAAGCATATTATGAAATCATGCATATCAATACATACTTAAAATACCAGTACAATTGTCTGTCATGAATAGGCACAAGTGTCTCTTTCATTACAGGAAGTCAGTTTTTCACTATTCAACTTATTATTACCTTGGCAATTATTTAACTGAATTTGGAACAATTTCACACTTTGGATATAATAACATCCAACAATCATGAAGCTTATATATTGCTGAACTATCCTTTCCAACTGTGCATCAGAATCCTTTGAAATTTCATTTACATTCCACTAACCTAGTCTCAATTTCCATTCAAGTACAAAATGCGAGGATAGTGTAATGAGTTTCATGCATTATTTTATGAATTTCCATCTACTTTGGACATCCTCCCCTCAGTTGCATTTATGCTGACAAAGCTATCAACTCTGTTGAAGTATCTTCCTTGATCCCTTCTCCCTTGCCAAATGTTTCCCAAGTTTCTATGGTCTCCACTGAAACTACCCTTTGAACTGAAATGAAACAAAACACTGCACATGCTGGAAATCTGAAACAAAACCATAAAGATGCAAGATGGTGGCAGAGTAAATAGCTCCACGCAGAGCCCTACTCTGCTCGCCAGTTCTCTTTCTCCTTCTTTCTTTGTCCTCCTTTTTTTCTCCCTTCTTCTCTCTCCCTCTGTAGTAATTCTTTACCAGAAATCCTTATAATTACCTATCTAAGGAGTCGGGAAGGAGTTGGGTCACAACTGGGAACCACTTGGGGGAAGCTGAATGCGTAGGTGTGTCCTGCAGTGACGGTGGATTGACTGTGGGCCGGAGAGAGCGATGTCGGTGAGATAGCGGTGTCAAGATTGGGCTGGTGAGGCAGCGGCAGTGAGAGCAAATTGGCGAGGCAGCCGAGAGTCAGACAAAGCAGGGATCTGGCATAGGCACGGTGTGGGCTGGAAAGACCGGAGAAGGGCTTTGGCAGAGGCATGGCGAGGGCTAGAAAGCCCTGAGTGGGACTGCGGCAGTGGGAAGGGAAGTTGGACTCTCTTAAATTATCTTTCTTTTTCTTGTCTTATTCTAAGTTAATGTGAATGGCTCTATATATGTGTGGCGAAGGTGCACACTTTTTACTGTATTTTTACATTGAATACATGTGGCAATAAATGATTCAATTCAATTCAATTCAAAGTGCTGGAGAAACTCAGCAGGTCTAGCAGCATCTGTGGACAGAAAGCAAAGTTAACATTCCTCGCCACAGACGTTGCCTGACCTGCTGAGGTTCTCCAACAATTTCTGGGTTTTTTAATCCTATCAACTATACCTGCGCCATTTTCCGGAAATCCTCTCCATCTCCTCCTCAGTGTCAAGTTACACATTTGAGGTACTTAAGCTACGACTGAAATGCAAGCTTCAATAACAATGTGATACATGAAATAATATAGAAATTACTTCTCTAAAAAGTCTGACATTTCATTCTCTAGATTTGGACGTAACTGGCAAGACCAACATTTATTGCCGTCCTAAATTATCTGGAGAAAGTGTCAGGCACACTTATTGAATTGTTGGTAATGGTTTGATGCAATTTAGCAGCTTGCTAGATTACTTCAGAAGGTCATTAAAAGTCAACCATGTCGATTGGGAAGATTGTAATCAAATCCAGATCAGAGTGGGTAAGGTCAGTATATTTCCTCTCCGAAAGGATATTAATACACTATCTTTTAAAAATGACAATGTTAGAGGAATTGTTATTCTTATTGTGAACAGGTTCTTATTTTCCTTTTATAGAAAAACAAATTCAAACCTACTTAACAAGATATGCTATTGTGAAATTTGAATATTCTCCACACGACTATACATATAATATGACAAGACAAGTTAAAAAAGAAAATCGATGAAAGATCACAGTATCCATTATATGGTGCAATTGTCTGAACAAGTCTTCCCAATCAGTCATAATGATAATTATGAAGACAGCCAAGTAGCAAGAGAGGGGGAGAAAACATGCCATATTTTAGGAAAAAAGAACTCTGGGACATTTCAGTCTTTGTGAAGTGTATTTGGAAGCAAAATAGCTGCCATAAATGAAATGGTGGTGGAGGATCAAGGCTTTAGTCAATGGTTAAAACAGCACAATAATTAAATACATGTAAATACATGGTGAAGTAAAAGAAATTCCAATACAACATAAGAACTTAAGAACATAAGAACTAGGAGCAGGAGTAGGCCATCTGGCCCCTCGAGCCTGCCCCACCATTTAATAAGATCATGGCTGATCTTTTTGAGACTCAGCTCCACTTACCTGCCCACTCACCATAACCCTTAATTCCTTTACTGTTCAAAAATTTATCTAGCCTTGCCTTAAAAACATTCAGCGACGTAGCTTCAACCGCTTCACTGGGCAGGGAATTCCACAGATTCACAACCCTTTGGGTGAAGAAGTTCCTCCTGACCTCAGTCCTACATCTGCTTCCCTTTATTTTGAGGCGATGCCTTCCAGTCTTAGTTTCACCTGCTAGTGGAAACAACCTCCCTGCCTCCACCTTATCTATTCCCTTCGTAATCTTATATGTTTCTATAAGATCTCCCCTCATTCTTCTCAATTCCAATGAGTATAATCTCAGTCTACTCAGTCTCTCCTCATTATCCAACCCTCTCAACTCTGGAATCAACCGAGTGAATCTTCTCTGCACCCCCTCCAGTGCTAGTATATCTCTTCTTAAGTAAGGAGAACAAAACTGCACACAATACTCCAGGTGTGGCTTCACCAGGACCCTACACAGCTGCAGCATAGCCTCCCTGTTTTTAAACTCCATCCCTCTAGCAATGGCAGACAAAATTCCATTTGCCTTTTTAATTACCTGCTGCACCTGCAATCCTACTTTTAGCGATTCATGCACAAGGACACCCAAGTCCCTCTGCACAGCAGCGTGCTGCAGTTTTTTACCATTTAAAACATAGTCCATTTTGCTGTTATTCCTACCAAAATGGATGACCTCACACTTATCAACATTGTACTCCATCTGCCAGACCTTTGCCCACTCACTTAGACTATCTATATCCCTCTGCAGACTTTCAGTGTCTTCTGCACACTTTGCTCTACCACTCACCTTAGTGTCAAGGTGATAGTCTGCTTCCACTTTCCAAACAGGAGTAGCCTCATAGCTGAACTTGAAAACACAGCAATTAGTGCTCTTACAGGCTTTCTCAAATGTACTTTCACGCACAATGCAGCCCTTAGCATCACTTATTATGAATGGTTATATGCCTCAATGCTCTTTCGGTGCAAGTTGCAGGATATCTCAACATGTAAAATAATATCACTGGAGTTGCAGTTAAAAATTGCAGTGCAAAAATAGCAGACACCGATGAAACCACTTGCGAATTGAAGTGGAAAATTAAGTGAGGTGCTGAATGGATAACTGCACGGCAGTGTTCTGAAGAAGGGTCACTGGACTGAAACGTTAATACTCGTTTCTCTCCACAGATGCTGCCAGGCCTGCTGAGATTTTCCAGTAATTTCTGTTTTTGTTGCATGGCAGTACTGATTTTTATTCAAATTGAAATTGATTCAAGCATTTGACTGGTTAGGCCAATTTCAGCTTTTTACTGGACAAAATTAAACAGACAAGTTAGTCTAAATATTGTGCATGTGATCGGTCCTGATATTTAATTTCTTGCAGACAAGCAGCAAGTCCAATACCTTCTGTTTATTCAATGAGGTAAGTTATACCCATACAGGACTAAATCATGGGCACAATAGGAAATAGTATTATTGACACAGTCCAAAGGTCAAAGAAGTTCAAAGGTACATTCAGTTAACATAATCTTTTAATGTATGAATCTAAAAATTCCCAGTTTGAAACATATGAAAGGTTTGATCTTATCACTTCTCTCGTCCAGATTTTCATGCCAGAATGGGGGTAGATAGTATTTAAAAATAGTGGGACATAATTCTTGGATCCCTGCCTCCACTCCCATTATTTGGTTATTTTTGCTAGTGAGTTATAAAGGTGCTGTTACTGAGCCCGCATGCTGCTGTCTTGAACTTGCTTCATTGCAGAGGCAAATGTTTTATACATCCAGCAATTTTGACAGAGTTGGACTGAGTTTTGGAGATGTGGTTCACAGCTTTTAAATTTAAAAATGTTTCAATGCTGTCTGATAATATTTCTGTTTGTATGTTCTTAATTATGTTTTTAAGCAGTAATGGAGCATGGGATTCTGCACTTAACATTGAGAGACCATGCAACTGGTCAGCATTGTGTAATGGTTCAAATGCATTTGGGTTCTTCCAACAATGGGTAAAGTTCTTCTCTGCATTCTATGATAGAGAAAATCAGAACCTGAATGTATGCGTGGAACACTTTGCTTTAGATTTTCATAAAAGGTCTGCTGACTGCCCCAAAATGCTCTCACTATGAATGTGCCAAACATGCATGCACAGTACCCATACCAGTGTTGCCAGTTTTCTACTTCATCCTGTTCACTCATATTTATTATACTTATTTGGGCACCACCATATTTTTATGTTGACAGGGCTTTCACGATTTGTGCTTGCATAAAACTTTCTGCCTGTGCAATGTGAATCTGCATTTAATGTCTTGACATTTTCTCAACCTTTGAAACTTTCTTCCTGCACAGAATCGATATCTTGAAACAATGCTGTCATGTTTTTTAAATGCTCAAGAAATAAACAATTTCTCGATTACATTTAACATGATTCTTTTTGGACTAAAGCATGCCTACCACTAATCATATATAAAATTGACAAAAATTTCTGGAATGTCCCGATCAGCAGTTACCAGAATAGGCTCAGACATAATCCTCCTAGAATCTCATTCATAGTTTATGGGGACCTTGCA